ATATAGCTGTATGAAAATTTTGATTTATTATTTGATAAATAATTCTCAATGGCTCATTCCAGATGGCAGATTTCAATGGCTATTTATTTGGCCCCCAAATAAAATCACTATATAATATCAATATATATTTCCTAGCCTTGCTATTCTAGTTGGCTATTGATTATGCTTTGAAGCTCTGCTATAGACAGACCTCATTTAGGCCTCATTATAATAAGAGAGCTCTTGTTCTGTTGTGTCGCATCGCCTGTTTGTAGTTTTGGCCCGGTCAGTGTTTCCTATCAGATGGTCTGGTGTAAATCCCCTCAGCCCAATCCCTCATTCTGTCCCGGTGTTTTCTCTCTCTCTCTCTTCCAGATTCATATCGAATAGACTCTTATGTCATCTCTGTGTTTGGGACCTGTCTGTCTGCTTCTGTGTCCTCACACACAGATTGTATAACATCCTCCTTGGTGAAATGTAATTAGAACAAGGGCTTTGGTTTTATTCAAGGACAATGGGTTCAAAGGACACAAGTCAATGAGACCTGTTCGATTTGATATTTCAGGCATTGCATGTTCGTTTCATTCAACTAAACTTAAGCAGGACTCAAGAATAAGATGTTTGTTGATATATAGATAGATATAGACATATATAGGACATATAGATAGATATACTGTATATATAGATAGATTTCATTTATATGAAATGTAAGTAACTTAGTTATTGAAAACATATTTAACACATTAATACATTTCAACACATAGTAGCAATATATTTTAGGCTTTTTGTATATATTTTTTTAATCAAATAATACTTTATTTAATAATATTTTTTTAACTGATGCATCCAAGACTTGAAATTGCAGCAGCATTGTTCAACACATCCCATAAAACCAAATGTTTAAGTTTGTGAAGTGCAGGAGAGCAGTGGCGTGAAAGGGCAAGTGACATTTACGCCAACTTGCCCCAAAATGATCTCACATGGACATCGGGCCATCCTTATTGGAGAGTGGAAGAGATCTGCATAAATGTGGGGATATTTTGTTCTTGGTATGTCTAGACTTTAGACTCAGCATGGATTTGGTTTTGGCCTACTTGTGTGGCATTAAAATTAAAAACACCTGAAAGATCTGCTGACCTGTGCATGTCCTCATCTGTACATGCATATCTACACAATGAGAACCATGAAGGAACTATATAAATAAGGGTTTAATTTGTATTCACTACTAGTAGATGCAATCACAAAGAGAAAGAAACAGATTGTATCCTGTTTGACTACATAGTTTGTGTTTGTTTATGCAGCGCTATTCTCAAATATGCACATTGTGTTCCACGTACACTCTTAAAAATAAAGGTGCTTCAAAAGGTTCTTCAAGCGATGCCATAGAAGAACCATTTTTGGTTCCACAAAGAACCATTCAGTCAAAGGTTCTTTAAAGAACCATCTCTTTCTTACATTTTTATGATCTGAAGAAACTTTTTTCGCCACAAAGAAGCTTTTGTGAAACAGAAAGGTTCTTCAGAGGTTCTAAAGGTTCTTTATGGAACCATTTAGACAAAAAGGTTCTTCTATGGCATCGTGAAGCACCTTTATTTTTAAGAGTGTATCACGTCACATAATGAGTGACTGTCAATGTGTAATGTGTACATATCAGTTCATTGAATACGACTGCGTAGCATGTTACTAGTTTAAGCAGTACACCGAGTAACTAGGTCAGTGTTACGTAAGTAAAGTAAGCCTGCGGTAAAGCTAGACTGATGTGTGTCAGTGTGTCAGTATCTCATGATAGGCCAGACCAAGATATTCAACACTTCTGCCCTTTCGCAATTTACCAGACGATATAGGCTGTTTATTCTTGCCTTTTTTCACTAATCTCTTTCAGCTTGAGTGAAATTATTTTTAGACAGCAGTCAAAACTTCTTCAAACATTCTGAAAGGTTCACAATTATGTAATCTGATGTCAATAAATTTGATTCGATAAGGCTATAATTGCATGTTGTGAAATCTAATTACATAACTGTGGTATATAATTACGTAGGTGGATGAAGTATTCAAAAAAAGACGAATGCATGAATAATGCAACAACTTTTTATTTTTTATTTTTGTTGAATTTTTGAAATGCACCCAAACCTAGCACTGAATAGTGTTTTTTACAATATGCATCTATTTCAAAACAGAGCAACAGAACAGCAGTGCCACGGTCTACTCAATAACACCAAACAAGCCTTGCTTGTTGTTTGTTTTTTTCCACTTTTATTTTGATAAAACCATAAGAAAATAAAAACATCAAACATCACTCAGTTTAAAACACACTGAAAGGACGAAAGAGGATAGGTGACATTGTGGTGAGCAATTTTGAAATCACAGTAAACTGGAAGTAAAGATGCAGCTAGTGATAAACAGGACAACACTTGGCCCCCAAAACAGTTCACAATACAGTGTAAAAATATTTTACATTTATACACAAGTGCCATAAGTTAACGTGACATGTAGATTTATTTTTTTAAATACAAAAGGGGGGTTGTGAGTAAATTTACAAGCATTCTTTGAAAAGTTAAAAACAAACAAACAAGAAAACCTGCAACTTTGATTAAACCTCATTTTAGCAGGGAAACATATGCAGAGTAGCGGCTGACTAGCGAGGAGTCAGCCAACCAGTTAAAGATTGAAAAAACTGCAGCATCAGCTAGCTGAATCACTTAACTAGGGGCCTCAAGGGCAAACGGACACTATGCTAGTTATCATCCATTTATACTGATGTAAGCAGGGTGGAGCTTTCCTGTAAACCCCATGCTAATAAGAGCAAAACATTCCTTTCACATTCATAACCAGAGAGGAAGAGAGAGTCATTTTGTAAGAAAAACTATAAACATGGAGGCTACATAAAAGGGAAGCTAGATATGTACTTTTAGGGTAGGTTTAAAATTTTAAACATTATCTGAAAAAGACATTTTAGGCTAAACGCCAAGTAGTGTTTCAAGACCAGACAATGAGTTCTAACTGCAATGAGAACACATTTTAGTATCTATGACATGAAGCTTACATCAACCCGCTAATGTATCTGTAAAGGCTTTGGGGCATTTTGACAATTTTCCTATAAAATGACAGCTTCTAAAAAAATATTTAATTGCAAATTGTTAAAGTAAAAAAAAAAGTTTATATTAAGTGGCATCTCAAACAACAAACACACTGATATTGTACAGTATTTTTGACAAGGACCAAATCATTAGACACATAACTCCCTATTTTTTTTTCATGTAAACTTTTTTGTTTTCTTCTTAAAATATATTCATATATAATATTTATATCACATTTTATACACACAAACCAAGTGCCTGATCAAGGAGCTAGGCTGTTTAATGTGGGAAAAGTGATGGGGAGCACTAGTTAGAAAAGCAGATAGAGGTAGGGAGCAGAGAGAGGTATGAACTTAAAGCCATGTTTCTTTGGTCAAGGGAAATATTCCCTGAATCTTCTGGTGTTTGGTATGTTTAAATGTGGTGCATAGCCACATGCAAATGTTCTGTTGTTAAGGTGTGGCCAAAAACTAAAAAAGGGGCACTTGAAGTTGCCTATTTACAAATATGAATCCATTACCATGCCTCACATATGGTAGATATTGCTTTTGAATTGAATATACACTTTGACATCTTGTTGCAGCATGGGAACTATGGGTAAGTGTGATCAACAGCATGTCATCCGATTTCATTCTGTTATAAAAGTGCTGCTGTAACCTTAAGAGGAGGTTAAACAAACAAAAGTTAAGTATATACATTATAGTACAATGCAAATACAATGCAGCAGTCCTGACGATATCCACTTCTCTTATCCCTTGGCATTTGCACAGGGAATGGGTGAAGGGTACAAGATCAAGGTAGGACCTCAAGATGGGCTTATAAAAAGTCTCTTGGGGCTTTATATCAAGACCCAAGTGAGTCCCACAGTTTTACGTTCAGTCATGTCTCTTGTTGCGACTGTTACGCATACTGGATTCCTTCTTCCCACATTCAATGCTTCCAGCCGAGGTGTCCTGCTTGCAAAACCCTGGACTCGACTGGCCGCCAGGTTGAGACAAGGCCAGGTAAGGATGCTGAGGTAATGGCTGGAAGTTAGCAGGTGGCGTCGTTGGCGAGTCTTGAAATGATGCTCTGCCGTTGCTCTGAGCTCTGTGCTTGAGTCTCAATTTGTGGGGTAGGGCAGTGCCTTTGATTTCTGCTTGGCCGTCTTTGCATTGGCTTGGAGAGAAGGAGCTCTGGGTCACGAATATGTGAGGGTGGTAGCTGCCTGTATCGGAGCAAGATGAAGAGGGAGACTCATCATCGGTGGAGCCCTCTTTATCAGAGCTGCGGGGATCCCCGTCACTTGAGGAAGTGTCCTTTCCTGAGTGAGCCTCGTAGTACTCTTCGTGTCTCAAGCTTCCTTCGTAGGTCAGCACTGGTGGATCGTCATTCTCCAGGGTGCCATTAGAACAGTGGTACATCTGTGTTTCATCTCCCTCCTCTGGTCTCATTAGAAGATCTGGGGCAGCAGCATCAACCCTGGGGGTCTGTCGCTGAGCAATGTAAGCTTGCCTTTCGGCTGCTTCCCCATCTGGGTAGTCATAAGGTGGAGAGTCCAAAGTTTTTCTCTCTAGCCGTTTAGACACCTCTGCCAAGCTTTTGGGACTTCCAGTTGGTCCCTCTGTAGGCTGAGTGAGGTTCTGCTGTTCTTTAGGAATCATTTCCTGAGTTTCCACAGGATACGAGGCACTGCTTGAACGGTATAGGATAACACTTCTTTGAGCGGATTGTGGGATGACTGGACTTGCAGTGGTCTCGTGGCGTCGTTGCTTCTGTTGGTTGGCTGAATAACCTTCAAAAGTGTGCTGGTGAAATACTGCAGGCAATCTAGAATGAATGTTTAACATGAACTGTCTGGTAGTGCTATTGACAATGTCCATATCCAGACCCATCCCTTCCTGCTTGATGTCATACACCAATGGCTCTGGGCTGTCCCGAGAGGAGTCATCAGACATATCAGACAGGGAACCTCGCGGGGAGTACTTTGCCAATTTCCCATGCCCATCCCCTCGAACAGACTGCTCCGTTTCAGAAGAATCAGAGTTTATCATCATCTGAGAAACACTGGAGTAATCATTAGGGTAGAAGAGACTGGTGGTAGAGGAAGGTGTTGAGTTTCCCCCAGAAGTTCCATTGACTGCTCCACCAATCTGCTGACTCTTTTCCATGTAGGAGGCTGTACTTATCAGACCAAACCTGAGCTTAAGCTGTAAAAGCTCAGTTTTCAGGCGTACATTCTCATCATTCAGCGCCATAACTCTGTTCTCTAGGATCATGTCATTAAAGCGTCGTTTCTCCCGGGAACGCTTTGCTGCCTCGTTGTTCTTGCGTCGCTTTTCCCAGTAGGATGCATCCTTTTTCTCATCTGAAATGAACTCACGCTTACGTCGACAGCTCATGTTTGGCTTTGGTTTGAGAAGGCGGCTCTGGCGAATGTTGCTTTGAGGTGAATGGACAAGATCACTGTAGTCCAGAATGCTTTCTGTGTTCTTTAAGGTTTTGCTTGCACTGGAATTTGTTGAGATTTGTAAGCTCAAACTTTCCATTGTTCCTCAATGGGAGCCAGTTTGGGACATTGGCTTCACCACTGGTAATGGAAATAAATGAAGAAACAGGGATGGATTAAAGGGTGTAAAGGTGGCTACGGGAATTCCTGTAGGATATCCCAACAAACAGTGGACTGGAGAATCTTCAACTAAGTAGCTGGATCAGCAAATACTTTATGAGATATTTTAGTTTCTGGAAAACTGAACCTCATTGATTTTGCTGATGTGAAGCTCAAGCAAATATCCCTAGATGATCAAGTGTCCAGGTCGGCTAAGAAGAGCAAGAACAGTTGCACCTCTTTATGAGTCTCCTGCTTTTAACAAACCCGAAGAATTCCTCAATGAGTAAACTCTTCTGGCTGTCTTGCGCACAATGTCTGTCAAAGCCAAACCGGGGAATGAAAGAGGGGCAATAAAGTCCTGAAGTACAGAAAATGTGACCAAATTTGTTTAAAGGATTCTGACCCCTTTTCTTTGTTTTCACTTTTATTCCTTTATGTAACGGCTCTATCAAGCCGACAGAGATGTGTCCCAGTGCCTTGGGCGTGTTGGAGGATATAGGTCACTCGGTCTGCCCCAGCTTGCCAGCCTCTTGGGGAGGGGTGCTGCTGCTCCCAAAGTCTCCAGCTGGCTGTTCGATGAAAGGCTGGAAACATAAAAGAGAAAAGAAAGACAGATTTGTTAATCCTCGAAAGCTAAAGCAATTCACAGTTTGCCTTTAGGCACTTCAAAGAAATCTTTTAATTTATTGTGCTTTTTCATTTTTAATGAAACTCTCCATGCTTCTCTGCATGGCTGGGTAATCAGAAGATTTAGAAGTGGAATGTTCAACCGTGTCTTTGTCATATCCTCTTGCTTCATCTACTCAACCCTGACAACCACAGAATGTTTTCTGTTGCCCGGCAACCACCGTCTGACCTGCTAACCCTGCTATTGATTTGTCTGTCTGTGACCCTTGACCTTTAGTCTCTGGTTAGACATTAGACTCTCATGATGCAAAGGGAAAGAGGTTCAGAACGCTGTCAACGATTACCCAAGCGGCACATTTTCTTTGTTAGAGGACCTACGGCTAAACAGAAATTATCTAAAATTAGTTTCCTCATTCTGACACAAGTAACATCACCCTTTGTACAAAATTCAGTCAAGACTGTTCTGTAAACGGGACTACACATATGGTAAACATTAGCAATGAACACATGATTTGTTTTAACATTTTGAAACCTTATCCTGTATTACATCATCTACTCTGAGGGAACCAGTGCAAGAGGTTTCGGCTTTTGATACATTAACATCAAATGTTACAACACATCTCCTCTTTGGCTGCACAGTCCAAATGGTCTGATGCCCCAAATATGCAATGGGGCCCGAACTAAATTCAAAAACATTAAAGGGGTCATATGATGCGATTTCAAGTTTTCCTTTCTCTTTGGAGTGTTAAAAGCTCTTGGTGCATAAAGAAGATCTGTAAAGTTGCAAAGACTAAAGTCTCAAATCCAAAGAGATATTCTTTATAAAAGTTAAGAGTCAACCACGCCTACCTAAAACGGCTCGTTCTAACACACCCCCACATATCTATGTCACTATGTGGAAATATTAGCATAATGCTGCCCAAATGTGCACGCAAAGAAAGAAGGCGTGGTTTCAGGAACAGCAGTAGTGTTGATGCAGCCATGTCAGGGAGACGCTGTGTTTCAGTGCGAAAGCAAAAGCATATTTGCGCAGCGCAGAGTAACGCGTCGTGTGTGTGTGTGTGTGTGTGTGAGTGAGGGGAACAGGGTCACATCACAGGAGAGTGAACTGCCTGTCAGAAATCATAGCAGGTCAGCTGTCTTAATCGCGGCTTGTGTACATCATCATCACTGTGTCTGTCACGCGACTCTGTTGCCCTTTCGGGCTTGAACTGATGGTAAAACTAACGACATTATTAACTTTCTTGATATTTACTTTGAAAGCGGAAGTTCACGATTATGGTAAGGGGCTTTACATTTCCGACGCGTGCTTGTGCTGTTCGGCCAGTCACAATGCACTGGGTCAGCTGGCCAATCAGAGCAGACTGCGCTTGTCAAAGGAGGGGGCTTTGTTGAAAACGACGTGTTTGAGAAAGGCGGGGCATAGAGGACCTATAATAATGTACAGTATTTGAAAAATAATGTGTTTTTTGAACATTTAAAGCATGTCAACATATTCTGGTACACCAAATACACAAAATAAAGATATTTCAAATAGTATCATACTTTCTTATTTTTTATGACTATTCAACTAAGGCTTTCAAGGAGAACTTTCGAAAGAAGCATGCTTTAGATGAAAAATGAGGAGAAGCCAAAAAAACCTCATAACAATAATTACTATAATGGCAGATAAACTGAGGTCAGGCAAAAGTCAAGTCTGATTGAGAGCTTTGCAATATAGGGTCAAGCATATCTGGAAAAAGGGGAGAAGGGAAACATTCCATCAACATGAGTTCAGATCCAGGGGTGGTAACTGTTTCAGCCATTAAAAATGAGTGCTAATGGAAAAGCAGAGTCACCAGTGATGATTAACTCCGCAGCCAGTGGGCAATTCCACATTGCTCTGATCCTATCATAACCTAAACTGAGCACCAACTTCCTATTTCAATGCCATGGTGTTGTTCAGCTAAAGGTGCCTGATTTCCTTTTTTTTCTACTTGCACACAAATTTGAATATGATATCTGATATACATAATATATAATATCAAATATCTGGTTAATATTTTCAGTCAATCCCAAAAGCTAGTAGGTAGACACAGATGGGATCCCAGTAATATTAAGTCATAAATCTACTTTGATCATCTCTAATATTTAATATTTGTTCTCTGACAATACAAGAATAAATATAAAGTGAACCATCACAAAGTTTAGTTTACACTGAGAGTAAAAGCATTCCTATATTTATAAGGAGAGCAACAGTAAAAGAGACTCTTAAGTCTCTTAGACTATACTTGCGTATCTAAAACAGCGCCATGACTCTGTAGCATTAAGTATGAGATCTGCATCAGAAATTAGGCAGATGAATGCAGTGTAATCCCATGATCTGGCCACCCTTTTTATGGGTTAAATTCTTCTCATTCCAGACATCTGAGGCAGCATTACGTAACTACAGACAGCTTAAGCCTCTTCTGATGGCTTCAATTAACACTTTCTGCTTTAGTCTGGTAACGCATAGGAATTAATATGGCCAAAACTGACATTTTCATCCCTTAATTAGTGGATGCTATGAATGGAATAAGTCAATAAAGTACAATTTTAATGAAATGCAAATAATGTTAAACGGGTAAACAGGGAGAATCAACGGTCATTTCAGTGAGGCACAAAACCAAAAGAGACTCCCTGATTGACCCACTGACCTAGAAACTGGGCCACTAGCAAGGAAAAAAAACTTTTTCCCCTTGTGCTCAAATATAGGTCAGGGGTGCAACAGGCATCACGAGAAAGAGAGATAGAGGCAGAAAGGGCAAGGGAATTCAAGTGTTTGCTAAGAATAGACAGGTGAGGGATAGATTGAGGATAAATGGAATAAAGAAGGGTAAAAAAAAGAGAGTGCAGAGAAAAGCAGTTGCAGTCAATTTGTTGAATGCCAGCTACACAAACAGAGGAGCTTTCCGAGACACCCTAACAATATAAAAAAAAGATCAGGACCAATTTCCCAATTATCTGAGAAAACCGAGAAGACTGAATCAAATTTTAACAAATGTATTAATACTGGCATAGTATTCAGAGTTATCCTAGGGTTTACTGTCGAATTTGATGATTTAGTTCTTTTTAGTGATTCATTCAAACCATCTGCTGAATCAGACTGATTTCAACACAGGATTGTTGGAGTGAATCAATCAGACTCAAACTCATTTTCTCAATGAATAATTTCAGATTATTCACAAATGCCAGTCATTATTATCAACTTAATACAGTTTTAAAAAACAAATTATAAAATTCTAATTATTATAAATGCAAATACCGTGTCTCTTTCATTTAATCTCTTCCTTTTATAATGGAGGAAAGGGAAGAGGCTATTAATAAAAATAGTTAGTGGATGAGTTATTTAGCCTGTCAACCACACCCCCGAATCATTACAAATGCATTTATCTCTCCTAGCATTAGCAACAATGCAACTAATTATTAAATCTTAAGCATCGAGACACCAACAGCCAAACCATCTTAAAGAATCTGACATGACACACCTGTGTCTTTATTCAATACTGCTATTGATTATCATGTGGCACATGGATTAAATAATTAATTTTTAATAATTGACTTCACTGGATGACCTGCAATTAGCAAAGCTTAAAATTGTTATGAGACAATAAAGCCCAATTTCACTTGCCCTATATATAGGATATGGGTTATAGCCTATTTGTGCATGTGAGCTTTCATTGGGGAAGAAATAGCATGTCTGTCCCACTATAGTCTTAACTTGGGCGAGGCCTGGAAACTATAATTCAGCTCAAATGTTTCATGTGATGCTTTACAGCCGTTTTGGTAATGGAAATAATGGGTGAAGGCAGGGGTGCTGGATTTCATTGTGGCCATGTAATTGACCCTGGGGCAGAATGTAATATTATTCGGCACGTGGGCTAGGATCTCTTTTTTTATTTTCTCCCATTGATTCCACGCCTGGTTTTATCTCTTCCAGTAGGAGGAGGGCAGGCCTTGGACAAGCAGGAGGAGTTCCAGGCCAACTCCTTTTTTTTATAAACACACTCATATCATCCTCTATTGAAAAAAAATAAATGCTTTGAACAAGTCCATGTGTTTCACCAGTCACATGTGCTCTCTTGCCCTACAAAACTAAACGCTAATTCGCCTCTCCCTGTTAGCCACATCGCCACAATAACGATGCGCCTCCTCCCTTTCTCTTTCACTATGAGAAATCTTAAGAAATCCACCAACTGAATTAATGTTTATTGCTTAAAGAGTCACAATTAACACTGTAAACCAATAATGACATTGCACTTAAGTGTTTTTGTTGTCTATTAACAAAGATTAATCTCCACAATTTAACATTCAAAGAGCTGGCACTACTAATGTGTCCTTTGTTTTTTTCAGCATTGTTGCTGAAACCGGTCCCAATTTGCAAGATTTTGTTGTAAACAGGCAGAATCTTTGTTCTTTTTTTGGTAGACTAGAGGGTGTGTTTTCTTCAGGCTTATGACCTACATTCTGCACTGGCACACAAAGCGGTTTGTCTGATGCCTTAAAGACCCTGCATATTTTTTTTTTCATTTGCCACTTCTCATTTCTCACCATTATGTAACTCTTAACACAGAAAGACTGCATAAAGTCAAAAGAAAACTGCAAGTTGACAAGCGATCTCACATCCACAAATTTGAGCCTGATCATGCATGCATGCATACATGACTTTTCTGTGGAATCCTACAGTGCATGTTTGCTTACTACATAATACACTTTGTTGAACCTGAACATTTCTGTAATCTAAAATCTTATGATCTGAAACATACTTATACTATTATTAGCACACTACACTGTGTGTAATAAGTGCATAAAACGGTAACTTAAAAACACAGTGATTACAACACATGTGAATTGTACTGTATAAACACGTAATCAAAGATGAGCTCAATAAATCAGTTTACAACCATCTGCCGGAAAGCTCCGGAGAATAACAATGCAACGTTCATTGACAATCATTATATACACAAACAACATGCACATTTGAGGGATCTGACCAATATCATTAGGATACAAAATTAAATACAATAATAACTCAAGTTAAAAGTGCGCTAAATAATAACGATCGTTTACTAGTTTCATAAAGTATCTGATAAGTACTGTAATAAAAAATATTGATGGATATCAATAACTTAAACGAGCATCTATTTGTGCACGCGTTGCATGTTGCTAGACAATTGCATTTTACATGCAACAAAGTTACATTTGATTGCCAGTCTGTATACCAGGAAAGAGTTAACGGGTCCGAGCCTTCAAACGTAAACACCCGCGTTAACCTTTACCGAGCACGGTTACACGTGACAGCGAGAAGTGTGTCCGGGATTTTTCCTTCCAAGCTGCCGCATTAACTTCATCATAACCCAACTGCATTTCACGCTTTGTGAAAACTTTAATTAAAACGTAATTGGCAAACATTAAGCAGTAACCTTTTATCAAGACATTTCCAGCGATATAATGTAACAATGTTTGCTAGTCTTTTAATCAAAATCGTAACAAGTGCTACGCCCGACTGGACTTTCTGTAACTCCGTTTCATGTTTATTAATGTAACGTTACTGACTAATCTTCAAATGGCGCAATATTATATCATTAGGCTACTAAATGTAAACAACAATATAGTCTACGTCAGATATGCATACAGAAAAAATGTGTGCATGCTAAATTAATTTGTATAGAAACATACAAATATTTGACGGGCATCAAGTGCTAAATGTCCTGTCATCAGTCGCGAGGGGTCCTGGCCTCGCCTTAATATTGCAAACATGCACATTGAGCATTATCCGAATCTGTAGCTAATGCATGCGTAAACACACACAAATAAACTAAACACTTAGAAGCCGTTGCATTTCAAATAGGCTGTCATTCTTGGATTAATTGCAGTCACCTCATTTCATAACCGCGTTAAAAAAAAAAATTCCGCAAGATCACGCCAGAAGCACAAGCATCCCCAATGCAGTTGTATTAGTGTGCGCGTGCATCAATAAGCAATTAAGCAAACATACCGTTTGTGGCTTTTGTGCTTGTATCTAAAATATCTTCAGTCGCCCGACGACTATAATTAGTCTCTTTGTATCAGCCTCGGTGGCTTGAATAAAAAGGCGAAGTGATCCACACACACTACACGCCGTGTCCAGTACGCATGGGTTCCGCAGCCCGTGTGTTTTTGCCCTGGCTCCTTGTGTTGTGTTGTGTTGGCGAGGCGCTCCAGTATCCTGCCGCTAGCTGCTTCTGTTTAGAAATGTATGTTAGTAGGTCAGCGGTTGCATAACAGGACGTTTCGGGTGCCTCGTCACGTTTTGTTTCTTTCTTTTTGCCCCCACCTACTTGCCCGCTGCCCCGCCCGCCCTCCGTCCCTCCGTTATCCGAAAGCCTGTGGCGACGCGAGCGCATAATCAGGCAGCCGACCAGACCTACTCCTAGATGAAGCACGGTCATATTCATAATAAGGCTGACATGGTGAAAACAAGTAGATGTTAAGGTTACATGTGCATTATGATGTGCCTGTCAAGGTGTATTCGGTTATTGCAGGTAACACTCTCCTTCTCAGTTTTTAACTATTTCCCCCTCCAGATAAAAAAAAGTGGTTTATAAACAAATGCAAGAATAAACAAGTGCCTTGTGAAGGCCTTGACCAAATTTTGGCCTTGATTTTATTTCGCTTAATGTCTGAGTGAATCCCAGTGACAGTATTTAAGGATAAGTTATTTGTACAGGACTGTCTCAGTCATATTTCACCCCCATTTTTTGAAACAAAGGAAAATGAAATCCATTTAGACGAGCATTAAGATACTGCCGAGTTGCTACTGGTTCATGACAGTAATCAAAATTAATTACATTATTTCCCCCATCCTGGTGTTTCCTCATCTGCTTTAATCAGGATATATGATGCAAAAAAAACTATTTATACTTATACTTCATTCATAAATCTGTCAGACCACAGGAGGAATATTACAGTGTGAAGACTATCAGGCTCACAGTGCATCTCCTCTCACTTACTGACAAGTGTTTAAGTAGTGTTGGCACATAGAGGAATGACGTTACAACGGAAGATGTTATGCTTTTCTAAATTTACAGTGACAGACAGGTCTGTGAATGCAGACATTGTTTTATTGGAGCCTGAGGCGTTTTTTGAGCAAGATCACAGTGTTTGAGGCAAAAGGACCAACTGATCGAATTGAGGTGAGGTGTTGTAGCTGACATGTGCCAATGCCGCTGGAATGATCTTGCATGTTCCTGAATGCAAGTTGAAGGAAGGGGGAAAAAAGTCATTATCCACCTTATTTATAACATAAGAGTGGAGCACGGCCATTTGTATCTTGAATGTCTGAGGCTTCCTTAGTTATTTGCTTCCAGGCCATTATGCTGCTTGATATCACAAACTGGTAATTCTTATTATATTTTTAGTTAGTATTGTAATCTTAAACACACTTTTTTGTGGTGCAAATAGTTTTACTATTTACTGCACTTTGTTATTCTTCTAGTTTTTTACCTAATGAACCAGAAGTGTCTCGCACATACATAGAAAATAGCTTACTTCCACATTGCAAAATAAGGTGGATATGCAAGTTCTGTTTGGTTATGACCGAGTGTGAAGAGGTAGTGATGCACATGCTGCGTTCTTTCCATTCATAATCTATGGACGTTCATGAATTCGACTATGAATATTTGCAGTGTTCGAGTGCACTCTTTACAAAGACGCTATATTGTGTGTAAAATAAACAAAGACATAAAATACATATATATATATATATATATATATATATATATATAAATAGTTCAGCACAAGTCATACAACTTGCACCTGTCAGATATATAGACTATACTTTTATAGGACACACAAATATACATGTGGAATGTAAACGTTAATATTTCAGAATTACAAAAAGCATATTACCATTATAAATCGTCGCGTAATTCTGTTCAGAAAGTCTTCAGTTCAAATCGTTTTCAGTGACTTTAGTTCCGCGGCCAGTCCGGTTCTTTCCCAGAAGAAAACAGACGGTGTTCGGTTTCGCTTTTCGCCGGTTAAAGTCAAACGGACTGTTGGCTCCGTTCAGTCGTTCCGTGTCTGTTGCGCCTGCAACGCGCGCGGCCCCTATTTGTGTATTTGCTCCATCAGGTTCAGTCGAGGACGGTCCATCACCCCGTCTGAACCACATGTGTGTGAGTGCATGAACAGACCGCCCCCCTACGCGCGCAGGACCCTCCTCTTCTCTCTAATCTCTCCCTCGTAACAGTTTGCGTCAGAATAATCTTTTGGAAAGCGTTAAATAATATTGCTCAATCTCCCCCGCCCTCTCCACTGTCCTCGTGTGTTCTGAAAATCGACTGTTGTCCTCAATAAATGTACAGGAACTATATTTAGACTAGTGACGCAGGGCCAGCTGTCCTTTTTCAAGACAGCACCGAGGTAAATGCCACAACAAGCTATAAAACACTCAGATTATATGTTGCTTTGATAAAACCCCCTTTGCTCTGTAAAGACAAGAACAGTGTAAACTGCTTTAACAATGTTATGCAATGGTAAAACACTGATGTGGTAATCATGGTATGTGTACCATCTAATACTATCATTTTACCAAGGTGGAATTTAATTATGGTTCTATTTCTGTTTTTAAACAACTTCTGGTTTCTAAAGCACACAAAAATTCAGCCATCACAGAAACAGTAATGCCAAGGCAAGTTTATTTATAAATAAATATATTAATATAGCACATTTCAAACACATTGACACTCAAAGATCTTTATATATGGGCAAGAAAACACTTAGGAAATTTAGCTCCTAATATCGTAAGTAATGCAATCATTCATTGTAATATATCCATAAAAGTATATAAATGGATCAGTAGATTATTATAATATGAGTGATTTATACAGTGTTCAGGTACTCATGCTATGAAGCTTGTTTTCTTACACGTAGACTGTTTACCTATGTAAAATTGGTCAAATTGAATTCCTATAGGCCTATTTGCATTAAAACCCAGTTGTTTTGCGTTAAACAACCAATACTGAAACATGCCAAAAAATTGGATACAGGCTATAATTCAACAATAAAGAGATATTTCACCCAAAAATGAAACTTCGGTCCTCATTTACTCACCCTCCGCTTGTTTCAAATGCAAAAAGAAGATAATTTGAAGAATGTTGGTGACTAAAAAGATGACTGTAGTTATTGACTTCCATAGTATTTACAGTTAACTCTTTGGTTACCAAGATTCTTCAAAATATCTTCTTAGAGGTTTGGAACATGTGGACAGTGACTAAATGATCAAAAATAAAAATTTTGGGTGAACTATCCCTTTAAATGACTAAATGTGGGTCCAATTATCACATACTGTAGCCAAGTGTATCTGCAGTTCACCTAAATCTTTATTTTGCTTTGTCCTTCAAATTAGTTTTTGCAAATCTCATTGACCCTGGCATAATATCTCCACTGACAGACAGTGTGTGTTTACACAACAGCTCTCATAGTACTGAGAAACTGGAGAGAAAGCAAAACTGACAGCATGCATGCTTGTGTTGCATGCCATGAGGAACAGCAGTATGTTCGTCTTGCTGAAACAAACAAACAAACAATCCCGCTGATTATAGCATGGCCTCGTCTTCTAAGCAGTGTGTAACCTCCTGCTCTTGATCTGCGAAAGCCACACGAGTGTTTTTACACTGCATTAGAGTGATCAGATCAGCTCTGGGCCATCTGCTGTAGCAACTGACACTACATGAGGCAGATGAGAGATTTTTACATGAGAATTTATACTAACTTGTGCTTGGGATGGCTTAATCTGTGCAATGCACTCATGATAAGATGCATTTTTGTTCTACCAAACTGTTTATTGCAACAATCAGATTAGTACTTGTCTCACGGCGTCACTAAAACACCACGGCCCAATATGACCTCTTTGGTATCAGAGAAGTAACATGAGATTTCACCATACAAACTCCAAATTTGGTGACAAACGTGAATTTATAAATCCATTCATCCATCCAAACTCAGTGGCTGAAGAATTTTACCCCAAAATTAAAATCCTGTCATCATTTTGTCATCCAAAACTTCTATACTTTTCTTTTTTTCTGTTGAACACAAAAGTAGATGTTCAGCAGAATGTCCAGGCCACTGAAAGGGAGTAGTTTTTGGGTCTGTTAAGCTACAAAAATGGCAAAAACACTATTACAGTACTGTAAAACTGCTCCATATGACTGTATTCCAAGTCTTCTGAAACCACAAGATCGCGTCAGGTGAGAAAATGACTTAAATTTAAGTCACTTTAATGGTAAATTGCTATTAACCATGCAATATACTAAAATTTGGATATATACTATGATACTATTGGATATATATACCATATTTTATATAGTACGTCCTACTTAACCTGCATACATACAATACAGTCACGTAAAGTAATTATAGCAAATCCCAACTGCGTGATTTATATATCGTACCAAAATGTAAACTATTATCGCACAGCTCTATAAAGTTGGATATATATTATGTCCAACTTTGCATACATATACTGTATACACTTCACAAAATGTAACTATATTATCACCCAGTTTTTTATATAAATTTGGATATGCAAGTAAACAAAAATACTGTAAACTATACTTAAGTTATCTACAGCTCTAGCTCTAATCTACTAAATCCGACTATAAGGTATAAAGATACTAAGATATTATAAAAATTAACATCATGAATTTCTGTAAAGCTGTTTTCAAACAATGTGTATTGTAAAAGACGCTACACAAATAATTTCAATGTGACTATTGCACTTTATATTAATTAACTGTGTGAATTTTATGCATTAGATTAAATATTAACATCGATTTTCCTTTTTTTCAGATTTCTTTAGTTAGCAGCATTATTCAGTCCTCATAATAAGCATTATTAAACTCATATAAACCTTCAGTATTACTACTCATCACTAAAACGTACATTTTGTACTCTTGATGGTTCAGATATTATTATAAACTTTGTTTCGCTGTGGCTATGGCTGATTGTCATTGGTCCAACCAATAACAGCCATTTTCAGGCAGAAAAACTGGGGGAAAGGTCACTTATCTTACACTGTAGTACAGTGACACCAAAATAACCTTTAACCTTATTACATTCACACGTAATTCTTATTTAATCGTGTGCCTGCTCTCTATGACATAATCAAATTTTGACCTTGTTTGATTTTCAAATGTACAAATGCTCTACCAAAGTGCTTGTTAATTCATAAACATTTTGGTTTTCTTGAAAAAGTTTAATTCCAAAAAGAACAGTCGTTT